GGTTTCAAGTGTGGGTTTGAAGTTGAGATATTTTTATCTTTTTCTTTTGGTATATCGATGATGAGTTGTTCCATACCATTTGTTGAAAAGATGATTCTTTCTCCACTGTATTGTCTTTGCAACTTTGTAAAAAATCAATTGGCCATATCTACATGTGTCTATTTTGGGACACTCTACTCTGTTCCATTGACCTGTGTCTTGGTCTGGGTCCAGTTTTTCACTAAAAACTTTATAGTAATTCTGAAAATGGGGGCGGGGGTGGAATCCTCAAATGATTTTGTGGGGTTTTTCCAAAATTGTTCGGCTATTCCAGTTCTTTACAAATGTTAGAATTTGCTTATCTGTATCTACAAAAATAATACTGCTGGTATTTTTATTGGAATTGCATTAAGTCTATAAACAAATTTGCTGATGTATAAAATTCTGATGAGATAAATCAAAGGGGACCTAAGTAAATGGAGACACACTCATGATTTGGAAAAACCAGGATAGTTAAGATGTCAATTCTTAGATTTAGACCTAAGTATTTCTTTCTTTTCCTTTGGAGCTATTTTAAGTGGCATTGTGTTTTAAATCTTGATTTTCAATTTTTTGCTTTTAGAAAATATAAATATGACTACTGCTGTATGCTGACATTTGTTCTTTCCCCCGCCACAGCTTCCAATATTGTGCTGAATTGTTGACTAGGGGTGGCCTCTTCCTAATGGTTGAGGGGAAGCAGCCAGTCTTTGACTATTAATGTGAGCTGTAGCTGTCCAAAAAGTTCCCTTATATTCCTAATTGGCCAAGTGTTTAAAATCATGAATGAGTGTTAAAAATTGTCAAATGCCTTTACGGCATCAGTTGATAGGATCACACGGGTGTTCTCTTTTAGACTCTAGTGTGGTGGACTATATAGATTGACATCTGAATATTGAGCCGGCCTTGCATCCCTGGGATAAACTCCTTCAGGTTGTTACGCATTATTCTTTTTCTACTTTGATGAGCATTTTTTCATGCGTGTCCGTAAGGGATATTGGTCTTTTTTGGGGTCCTATCTCTGTCTGGTTTGCGTATCAGGACAATGCTGGGCTCATCCAGTGAGGTGCGAAGTGTTCCCTCCTCTTTCATTTTCTGGGCCTGCAGGTTATTTTAAAATGTATTGTTCAATATCCAAGTATTTGGAGGTTTTCTTATTACCTTTATGTTACTGATTTCAAGTTTAATTTCATTGTAATCAGCAAGCCTACTTTGCATAATCTCAATTATTTTAAATTTGTTAAAGTTTGTTTGATGGTCTATGTCCTCGCTGATTTTCTACCTGCTTATTCTATCAATTATGAAGAGAATACTGTGAAAATCAGCCTTTAGTTTGACTAGTTTTACCATCACATATTTTGAATCCCTGTCGGTAGGTGCATACCTACTTAGGATTGTTTTATCGTCTTCATTAATTGACCCTTTCATCATCATGTGATTTCCCTGCTTATTCCTGGTAGTTTTCCTTGCTCTGGAATCTACTTTGTGTCATTTGCATCTTTAACCATTTCAGCTTTCTTTTGACTCGTGTTTGCCAACATATGTTTTCTGTTCTTTTGATCTGAACTTACCTATAACATTTCAAAGTGAATTTATTGTAAACAGCATAGAGTTGGCTCAGGTTTTATCTTTTAATCGATGTTGACAATCTCTGTCTTTTCATTGGTGTTTAGACATTTAATGTAATTATTGGTATTTAGGTGTACCATTTCATTATTATTTTTCTGTGTTTTGTTCCACAGATAGAGGGGGAAAGCAGTAAGGATTCTCCCAGGGCCCTTGGGACACGGTTTCTCTAGTCTTGTGGTCGGCAAACTGCGGCTCGCGAGCCACATGCGGCTCTTTGGCCCCTTGAGTGTGGCTCTTCCTAAGCCTTAGGAGTACCCTAATTAAGTTAATAACAATGTACCTACCTATATAGTTTAAGTTTAAAAAAATTGGCTCTCAAAAGAAATTTCAATCGTTGTACTGTTGACATTTGGCTCTGTTGACTAATGAGTTTGCCGACCACTGGTCTAGTCCATAACGTAGGGACCTGCGAGGCCTCCACAGCCATCACTGCTGCGGCTGCTGCTGGGCAGGACTCCGGGGGGTTATAGCAGGAGGAAAGGCAAAAAGAAAGAAGGAATCCCCCCAATTCTCCAATCCTTAGGGGACCCTTTTCTGTTTGTCGGGCCAGAAAGAGAAAGCTTTTCTTCTAGATCTTTCCGTGTGCCCCCGCCGTGCACCTCTGAGGTTCAGGCTGCCTTTGTGTCCAGGCCAAGTTGTAACGGGAGGGGAGAGCAGAGAGCTCACTGCCGGGCTGTTCTCCCTCCCAGGACCGGCTCCTTCCCCTGCCGCTTGCTGCGTTCACCTTGCGGAATCCTCAGAGCTCTGTTCGCACACAGTGTCCAGAGCTTTCGGCTCACTCAGTGGGGGCACCACAGGGAGGGGGGTGTTCTTGCTCGGAATCCTCAGAGCTCTGTTCGCACACAGTGTCCAGAGTTTTCGGCTCACTCAGTGGGGACACCATGGGGGAGTGTTCTTGCTTCATCTTCACCAGATCTAGAACCTCCGACATCACATTTTGATGTTGAGCTTTTCCTGACTTTTTTAATGCATGTGTGCGGATTTAGAAATATACTTTCAAAAACTGATGTGTTCAAAACGTGTCCATTGTTTCGTTACCGGCTATTTAAAATGAACACTTACAAATCTTTTCAATGCAATAAATATAGACGTACATACTCAGTTTTATGCCCACGTCGTATTCCAGGGCACAGATTATTCTAATTTGCTTAATCGATATCCTCTAGTTGGGCCTTTAAGTTTCTTCTGGTTCTCACTCACCATAAACAATGTTTTCATGCACATTGCTGCACACGCTCCTGATTCCCTTGTCCAATAAGTTCCTTAGTATACATTTCTAAAAATGGAATTTCTTGGACAAAAAGTAAACACATTTTGAAATTTGATACTCATTGCCCACCTACCCTCCAGAAAAGCGATACCAATTTCCTTCTCACCAGCTGGGTATCCTCACCAACAGTTGTTGTTACTGTCTTTTCTAATCTTCGCCAAAGTTATATCACCTTTTAGTATTCATTCCTATGGTTATATCAACAGGCTAAAGTTATTACGAGTCCATTGTCATGTTAATACATTAAATTCAATTAGTTGATATTTAGTTAGAATGTGTACATATATATTTATAAGTGAGCCTAATCTACTTTTCACTGTGGTAAAATATACAGACCATAAAATTTACCATTTGAACCATTCTAAAGTGTACAGTTCGGTGGCATTAAGTACATACCCGATGTTGTGTAATCCACACCACTACCCATTTCTAGAACTTTTTCATCATCCCCGAAAGAAACTCATTCCACACTAACTCCCCATTCCTCCCTCCCCCAAACCCCTAGACACCCCCATTACACTTTCTGTCTCTATAAATTCACCTTTTCTGGGTGCCTCATGAAAGTGCAATCACATAATATTTGTCATTTTGTCTTATTTCAATCGGCATGATGTTTTCGAGGTTGATTTAAATAGTAGCATGTTATCATAGTTTCATTCTTTTTAAAGGCTGAATAGTTTTTCATTGTGTGTATGTATACACCCATTTTGTTTATTCATTCATCTGTTGAGGGGCATTTGTCGTGTTCCCATCTTCGGGCTCTTTTGAATGATGCTGCTGTGAACACTGGTGTCCAGGTTCCGGTTGGAGTCCCCATTTTCAATTCTTTTGGGGATTTACCCAGGAGTGGAATGGCTGGGTCATATGGTGACTCTGTTCAACTCTTTGAGGAGCTGCAGACCGCTGTCCACAGCAGCTGCACATTCTAAATTCCAACCACCAGTGCACCAGGGCTCTGATCTCCCCCACGTCCTCGCCAACACTTGTTACTTCCTATTGCTTTTCTTTTTGAAATAGTTGTCCCGCTGGGTTTGAAGTGCTTCATCTATTTTTAAAACTATCTTTATGAGATTTTGGTGTCCAGGATAAGCTGGCTTTTTCTCAGAGAACCTTTCTTTCGCTGCGTTTGGGGACAGTTTAAATAATGTAGAAAATGACTTTACTTTGCAGCTTTGAGAGAATTTATCACAGGAACCCTCTGAGCCAGACACCAAATTTTAGGAGCTGGTTCCTTGACACCTTTCTCTGTTTCCTCGGTGGTTACTCATATAAGCAGATTTACCAGCTCTCCTAGAGACTTTTGAGTCATTTTTATTTTCCTAGAAAACTATGTATGATGTAGAGGATTCAGATTTTCTTTTCTTTCTTTCTATTTTTTTTTTTTTTTTTTTTTTATTTTTTTGCAAATATATATGTCTAGTGCGGCCGGCATGGTTCAGTGGTTGAGCGTCGACCTATAAACCAGGAGGTCATGGTTCAATTCTCGGTCAGGGCGCATGCCCAGGTTGCAGACTCAATCCCCAGTGTAGGGTGTGCAGCAGGCAGCTGATCAACGATTCTCTCTTATCATTGATGTTTCTTTCTCCCTCTCCCTTCCTCTCTGAAGTCAATGAAAATATATTTTAAAAAACACAAATATATATGCATATTTGTCATTCCTAATATTGTCTCTTTGTTTTCTCTCTCTGTGGCAGTCCCTGCCCTCCAGTGGAGCAGCCTGGGCTCATGAGGGAGGGCATGGGCTCTGAAGCCAGACGCTCCAAGTCCAGTGCTCATTCTGTTACTTACTGGCTGTTTGACCTTGAAGAGCTATTTGAGCTCTCTGTGCTTCAATTTTCCCACTTGTACTTTGGGAGAAAACAGTATCTACAACATAAGGTTAATATTAACATTGAAGAGCTGACCATTTTTAAGTGCTTAGAGGAGCGCCTGCCACAGAGCACGCACCATAGACGTGTTTCTTACATAAACCTAGGCTTCCCTGCTGTGTGCTGGAAGCCCAGGTCCCTGGGAGCCCCTCCGCCCCCCAAGTGCACTTTCTGCACCTTCCTACCCCTTACACTCACTGCCTCTTATTTTGCAGAACCATCTCTGTGCAGAAGAAAACCAAACCACTTTACTTTCCATTCTGCTGCCCGAGACAACCACATCCTCCTCACACACGCGCTCCCATGGAGAGCTCAGGTCAGTATGGTCGGGGAGCGGGGTCTAGTGCGCCTGGTGCATCATGGGAAGGACCCTCTTGCAGGTGAGGCTGCCCAGGGCTGGCAGGACCTCCCCCCAGCTGGCTGTGAGAGCCCAACCCAGCCGCGTGAATGTGAGAACATCCACATTCGAACATCCACACACTGTTATTGGCCTCAACTGTGTATAGGTCGCTGAGCTGGACACTGGGAAGAAGGACAGTAACAGGCAAGAAAGATTTATTACCAAAGCCTTGCATTTATTGAACAAAACCCTTTATAGAGCTTACACTATATCAAGTACTAGTGAAAGCACGACAAATACGAACTCATTTAGTCATTAGAAAGGTAGATATTATTCTTACTCCCATTTTACAGACAGGCAAAGTGAGACACGGGGAGGACGGGCATTGTTCCCACAGTCACACAGATGCTGTGTGGTTAAATCAGGATTGACCCAGTGACCCGGCTCCAGCATCCCGCTCTTAGCGATTTCACTATGGATGGCCTCATGCAAACGTCAGGTATTTCTGTGAGGTAGGAATATCAGTGTGATTTGCCTTATTTTACTGAAAAGGAAACCAAGGCTCAGAGAGGTTAGGTAATTTGCTCAAGGCCACAGAGCTAGTAAAGTGGCAGAGTCAGGATTGGAACCCGGATCTGGCTGATTCCAAAACCTAGATTCTTTTCCTTCTATGAACCTGTGAGAGCAAGGAGAGATGAGCCCTCCCCTAAGGTGTGTGTTGGCCAGTGGTCCCCCAGCAAGTCAGAGCACTACGCAGGCCTCCAGGCGCGGACTCCAGGGCCCTGGAGGATGCCTGTCCTGGGGAAGGTGAGGGGACACCCAGGGCAGGGCAAGCACAGCGACCAGGTTGTTATCATTCCTAAGACACACACACTGGCCACACCCCACTCACCGCCAGGGGGCGGCGCCCAGTCAGAATATCCAGCTGAGCCCTAGGGTTTGGCTCAGTGGACAGAGTGTCAGCCTGCTGGCCAAAGGGTCCCAGGTTCGATTCCAGTCAAGGGTACATGCCTGGGTTGCAGGCTCGATCCCTAGTGTGGGGCATGCAGGAGGCAGCCAATCAATGATTACATCCCATCATGGATGTTTCTGTCTCTCTCTTCCTCTCCCTTCTTCTCTCTGAAATCAATAAAAATATATTTAAAAAATAAAATAAAAGTTCATCAGTAGGCCCCACCCTCAGAGAAGTGATTTGGATTTGGGGTGGGCTATGCATGGGTGTTTTCTTTGAAAGCTTTCCAGGTGATTCTACTGTGCACCCAGGTTGGGGACCAGGAGAAAGCAAACAACCCTAGGAGGGGTGTGGTAAGAGACAAGAGACTTGACTCGTCTGGGATGGAAGGGCAATGGAGAGCTGGCGTAGCCAAGTCCTAGGACAGCTTTGAGTGGTCTCAGATTGAGAACCAGACCTTGAACTATGGGGATCCTACCATGGTCAGGACCCTCTCAGCCTTGCTTCTCCGTCTCTCCCTGTTGCCTCTTTAGTTATAGTAACACCTACCTGGGTCTGAGAGTCTGGTTGGTGGGAAAGTATGTGGTCTCTATTCCACGGGGGTGCAGGCTCCTTGGACAGGCTACCACGGTCCATCGGGAGATAGGGGGTTCCCTTGGGGACATTCCTGTGCTCTGGCAAAGGTGGCACAGGAGAACATGGCAATGGCATTCAAGGGCACAGAGTTTAGTGCCTCGCTGCCCTCATCGGAGATCCTTGCCGCCACCAGTGAGCTATGTCCCAGCTAGCCCAGGTCTCCCTCATTCCCTGGGTCCCCTAAGCCCTGGGCCATGTAACCCTCGGGGAATCCAACCACACTCTTGGGTTGCCACTTTCTTCTTTAACTAAAGGCTGCAGGCTTCCTCCCACGCCTTGAAGACAATCTGATTGATTGTCTCAGCCACGTGGCCAGGGTCTCCAACTCCTGGGCTCGGGGAGGATGTAGATGAGTGAAAGGAGGAGAGCGGGAACTGGGAAGAACCAGAACCTGTGCCTCACCTCACGGGGCAGCTGCCCAGCCCGTGGATGGTCACATGTGAGAGGAATGCCTGCCGGTGCCAGCAGACGCTCAAGAGATGCCCGAGCCCCCGACTGTAATGCAAAGTCTCCCGATTTGTACATGTTGGCGGCTCATTCAATTTTTTTGAGACTCTACAGCCCAAACAAAACACGTCTGCAGCCAGATGCGGACCGAAGCCTAAGAGTGTGTTCTGGCCGCCCAGACTTTTGAAAACAAAGTTTATTTGGGGCTGTCTCCCGGGGCTACTGGCAACTTCTCTATTTTTCTCTGAAAATGAAAACGTAACTCCCTTTGCAAAGCAGGGGAACTAAAGCTCCAAAGATGAAGGCTCCTCTGCCCTCTAGTGAGGGGGCCAGGAGGATGTCACCGATCAGCTGTAAGTCTGTGTGTGCAGGGGGGTGGTGAGGGAGGGGGAGGAAGGAAGGAAGGAAGGCAGGAAGGAAGGAAGGAAGGGGAGGAGACTTAACATTGATTATTTTTTTATAACTCACCCTGCAACCAATCTTCATGCAAGGTGGAGAAAGGTAGATGAAAGGGCAGCTGTGGCCAGCCTCGCGCCAGGCTAAATTACTTCCTGGCCAGTGGCCGGGTGGGCAAACATGGGCTGGAACAGCTCGCTGCCCGCCCTCAGCCTGAAGCAGGCTTCGAATTGGGCCTTGGTGTGATCTGGGGGACACGTGAGAGGTTTCAGAGTGGCCAGTGGCCCCGGCAGACTTTGCACAAGCCCGTGCCAGAGCCACACCTGGGGGAGCCAGTCTGTGAGCCCAGGGCAGGGGGTGCCTTGGCCTAAACACACTTTGATGCCTGGACGGCCACCTGCTGATTTTTAAAACTTGCCATCTCCATCCCATCTGCTTCCGAAGCAGCCGAGGCAACTCCTAGACCTGTAAAGTAGGACATAAAGCAGAAACACCAAAGAGGAACAGAGCAGAGTCCCCATTGCTGGAGATGAGCTGATGTTTGAGGCTGGGCCGCAGGTTGGCTGTCCGTTTCCTGACGGCTGAGGCGAAAGGGGAACCCCTGAGGCATGGGGCTTGTATTGTCTGACAGCCAGAGAGAGCACGCTTGCCTGCAAAGACAAACTCCCGGCTGGCATGCATCATAAAGGGGGATTTATGCACCCTTCCTGTGCTAGTCGGATCCTCCAAGAAGCAGATACCAAGACAGGAGTAGCTACGCAAGGGTTTATGCGGGGAAACACCTGTGGGCAGAACATGGCGAGGGAGCTGGGCACGGCTGAGGAGCAAGGTGTCAGGGATGATGCAAATCTGACACTGGATGAAGGAGAAAGGACGGAGGGGGGTGGGTGGGGGAATGTCTCAGACGGACAGGTCATGGAGGAAGGCTCCGCAGGGCGGCTGGAGAGTCCCTGAGCCAAAGTCAGCCACCTGGGAAGGCTTGCATCTCCAGGACCAGCCCGCCTTGGCATCCCTGCTGCCCTCAGCGTGGGCCGGGTGGCACGGCCTCGGCACAAAGCCACGGAGTTCCCAGCCCAGCCACACAGAGCTCCCCGCCCTGGTCAGGGGAACGTCTCATAGTGGGACCCGCAAAGCGCATGCTCACGGCTACCACGCTCCCCAAACGTCAGTTACTTATTTTTGTGCCGCCTTCACGGTTTTGCCATGTCAACGTACCACTATGAAAGGAAAAACTATTCTGGCACTTGTTAAAGCAGGAACACTTTATGCCAGACCACTGCAATAGGAGAGCGACATTGGCTCAACTCTGAATAAGGCAGAGCTAGCTGGGCATTTACAGCCCACGCACAAGGGGCGGCCAGGGGACAGAAAATTACTAAGAAGAGACCTCAGGGCTGGGGGGATTCTTATTCAACTGACCTGACAGGATTCTCGCGAGAGGCAGGTCAAGGACTTATACATCAGACATGGGGATGGCGAACTTGATCAGATATCAAGTGGGGGATCCTCTATACACTGACAGCAGGATTCGTGCTGACACTGCGAGGCAGGCCAAGGGCAGGACAGGGGCCGGGGCCAGGACCAGAGGAGAAGAGGGTTCAGAAGAGCCTGGGTGACGTTTGGTCAGGGAGAGAGTCTTTGCCTCTTCCTGGTATTGTCCGATACGTTTCTTTAAACTGACTTTCATTTTGGCTTCATGCATTTGTTGAGGAACTGGTTATCTATTTTTCCACGACGCATTAAAACGAGTGCATCGTTATCAGATATGAGGCTCATTTGTGCACCATCTTACATGTCTTGTGTGCCACCGGTGGGACACACGCCACATGCTTGGAAATGCTGGTTTTACGGGAATCACAGACATGCTGTGTGAGAGGCTGTATCCCTGCCCGGCCCGGATGCTGCCTGCCAGCTCCAGTGGATACTTTCGGGCACCTCCTGAGGCTGGGAGAAGGGGCTACGGACATTCTCATGGGAGAGTGGGCGTGGGGCGAGGGTAGGACCAGGGGCTGAGCTCCAAAGCTCCTGGCCTCTAAGCTCCCCCCTCTCCGCCCCCAGATGTGGAGCTGGACCTGCAGCGGAGCGTGCAGGCTGTGCTCCGGGAGCTCAGCGCCCAGGCCCCCGCACTGCGGAGCAACCGAGGTAGGAGCCAGCGGGTCCCCCCCACCTTCCCCACCTTCCACCCCCACCTTCTCAACAAAGTATGCGGCGCCTGCAGCTCACAGGGAGGGGCTTCCAGCAGAACCCTCATCCTGCTGGGGATCCCCGGGGCCTGAAGAACCCAGAAGCCTTCCCAGCCCCCTGCTCACCCTGCCAGCGGCTGTGGCAGAGCGCCCCTGGGCCTGCAGCCTCTTCCCTAATCACTCGCCCCAACTCCCCTTCCCATGAACCCCCGGGCCCTCCAGGCCCACGTGACTTCCAGAAAGTGGTGGAGGCCTGAGCTGTAAAGGCTGCTGCTCCGTCAGCCACGTGCACACGCCCCTCTCCCTGTGTGTGTGTCCCCCCCTCCCCCCGTCTGCACTGGGCATTCTCTGCCCACCGGGGGCAGCAGGTGAGGACTCCCCGCGTGGGAGAAGCCCACCCACGTGTACCTGGAGCCAGTGCCGGCCCAGGTCAGCCCATGGCTGCGCAAAGGCATAGTCTGGGGCTCCGGGACGCGGGGTCCTGCTCTGAGGGGTCTCCTCTGAGAGCTGCCCCCGCGGGGCTGGGCGGCCCCTTCCTCCCGGCCAGGCATGTGGAGGTGGTCCCTGCACAAGAAGGTGGAGCGGGATCCTGGAAAGAGCCCGGCGCTGGTCCGCATTCTGCTCCGAGAACTGGAAAAGGTGGGTCCCAGCCCCGGGGCCAAAGGGGTGAGAGGAGGAGAGGCCCCTCAGCGCTGCGCCCCGGACTGGTCACTGGTGAACCCGCTGCGTTTCCACCACGTGCCTCCCTCCGGTGCTTTCCTGTGAGCAACACTGTCTTTCAGTGACGCCCACTGTTCACATGAGTTGGCATATTTCTAAAAGAAACCATAACGCGAGCACCAATGGACAATCACATCACTTGGCAGAGAGAAAGCACCGAAACATTAATGCACAGCTACTAGAATGCCCACAGTTACCGCACCGCTCCCAGCTCCCGCACATGCTCCCAGCTCCCCGCACATGCTCCCAGCTCCCTGCACCCCCCCAGCTCCCCGCACACCGCTCCCAGTTCCCTACACACGGCTCCCAGCTCCCTGCACACCCCTCCCAGCTCCCCGCACACTCCCAGCTCCCCGCACACCCCCAGCTCCCCGCACACCGCTCCCAGCTCCCCGCACATGTTCACCACACACCACCAGGGCTGCACTCAAGGGGCTGGGACCGCCACCCCTGTGCTCTCCCCACCCGCCTCCACAGGGCAGACTGTGGCCCTTTTCCACCACGTCCCTGCCCATCCCTAACCCCCTTCCACGGCCTCCTGCTAGGGCGTGAGCCCCTCAGTCCCAGCCCAATGCGTGTTTTGCAGGCAGAACTCGAGGACACCCGGCGCGTCATCATCCCTTTGCTACACACGCTAATGTACGTGCTCACCAAGGTGAGCCGCGCTGAGGGTCGGGGAAGGGGGGGCCCATGACGAGGGGCGGGGCTGGACAGTCCTCTCCCCCTGACTGGGCGATCCGGGAAGAACTCTTGGGTTGCCTGCCTGGATCGGCTTCTTTTCTTTCTTTTTCTTTTCTTTCTTTTTTTTTTTTTTAATATATTTTTATTGATCAGTACCATGATTTTTTTTTTTAATAAATTTTTATTGATTTCAGTGAGGAAGGGAGAGGGAAAGTGAGAGAGAAACATCAATGATGAGAGAGAATCATTGATCGGCTGCCTCCTGCACGCCCCCTACTGGGGATCGAGCCACAACCCAGGCTTGTGCTCTTGACCAGGGATCAAACCTGGGACCCTTCAGTCCGCAGGCCTAAGCTCTGGCCACTGAGCCAAACCAGCCAGGGCCGGATCGGCTTGCTTCCACTGGCTGTGCCCTCTCCCTAGCAGTCCGCCATGAAACCTGGAGGCCGTGCGGCGTGGGGAACCCACTGAGCAGAGGATTAGGAGGGAGAGGACTTACTGGGGGGAAGGACAGATGGCTTTCCCTCCTGGGGAGCTGAGTGGAGTGTCAAATAGCCTGTCCCCCAGGCGCTGGGAGAAGAGATTGAAGGTGTAGATTTGGGAGAGAAGTGGGAGCCCAGGTCCTGCTTCAGGCCCACCTTCCTCCTCTCCCACCCACCCAGGACCCTTCCTGACTTCGGGCTCCGGGCACCCACCCCCTCACTCTGTCCCAGGCCACAGGCATCTCGCAGGAGCTCTACCGGAGGACCTACGCCCTCTGCATGCGGCTACTGACCCTGCCCGCCCCCTACTGCACGGTGGCCCTGGACTGCGCCATCAGACTGAAAACCGAGACCGCGGCCCCAGGTAAGAGCTGCCCCAGGGAGGAGCTGCCCCAGGTAAGAGCTGGCCCAGGTGGGAGCGGCCCCAGGTGGGAGCTGCCCCAGGGAGGAGCTGCCCCAGGGAGGAGCAGCCCCAGGGAGGAGCTGCCCCAGGGAGGAGCAGCCCCAGGGAGGAGCTGCCCCAGGGAGGAGCAGCCCCAGGGAGGAGCTGCCCCAGGGAGGAGCAGCCCCAGGGAGGAGCTGCCCCAGGGAGGAGCAGCCCCAGGGAGGAGCTGCCCCAGGGAGGAGCAGCCCCAGGGAGGAGCTGCCCCAGGGAGGAGCAGCCCCAGGGAGGAGCTGCCCCAGGGAGGAGCAGCCCCAGGGAGGAGCTGCCCCAGGGAGGAGCAGCCCCAGGGAGGAGCTGCCCCAGGGAGGAGCAGCCCCAGGGAGGAGCTGCCCCAGGGAGGAGCAGCCCCAGGGAGGAGCTGCCCCAGGGAGGAGCAGCCCCAGGGAGGAGCTGCCCCAGGGAGGAGCAGCCCCAGGGAGGAGCTGCCCCAGGGAGGAGCAGCCCCAGGGAGGAGCTGCCCCAGGGAGGAGCAGCCCCAGGGAGGAGCTGCCCCAGGGAGGAGCAGCCCCAGGGAGGAGCTGCCCCAGGGAGGAGCAGCCCCAGGGAGGAGCTGCCCCAGGGAGGAGCAGCCCCAGGGAGGAGCTGCCCCAGGGAGGAGCAGCCCCAGGGAGGAGCTGCCCCAGGGAGGAGCAGCCCCAGGGAGGAGCTGCCCCAGGGAGGAGCAGCCCCAGGGAGGAGCTGCCCCAGGGAGGAGCAGCCCCAGGGAGGAGCTGCCCCAGGGAGGAGCAGCCCCAGGGAGGAGCTGCCCCAGGGAGGAGCAGCCCCAGGGAGGAGCTGCCCCAGGGAGGAGCAGCCCCAGGGAGGAGCTGCCCCAGGGAGGAGCTGCCCCAGGGAGGAGCGGCCCCAGGTGGGAGCTGAGTCTCCCACACTGCAGTCCAGCTCCACCCAAGGCCTCGCGCTGGTCTCAGGATTCTGGGCTCAAAAATCCCAGCACCTGCTGTGGGGAGGGGCCTGGGGTCAGGCCGGGCAGCTTGCTGAAGTGTTCTGCTTGGCAGGGACGCTGTACCAGAGGCTGGTCATTGCCGAGCAGAACTTGAGGAGCGAGCTGTACCCCTACCAGGAGAGGTGAGTGGCTCCCACGGGCGCTGCCCGCCCACCGCCCTCCAGTGTTGGGCCTGTGTGACTGCTCACTGACAGGAGGACAGGGAGGGGGCTGGACGGAGGGGAGCCCAGCAGAGCTCCCGTCCATGACATGTGTCCAGCGGTGGGTGCGTCTCCGGTGCAGGCCCTTCCCTGGAGCTCACTGAGAGTAGGATAGGTCTCCTTCGTGGACAGGACACTGGCCACCCGGGGGCTCTGTTGTTTCACCTCCATCCTTCCCGTGGCCGTGAGGCAGCGTCAACTAGGCTGGCAGCCGAGGCAGCTCCAGAATGCCCAGAGCCGAGGGGCTCAGGCCAGGGTCACAGAGGTCTGCGGGCTGTCGTCAGTGTGCCTGGCCTGTAGCTAAGGTTGAGGAAGTGCCCACTGTTACAGCTGGGGAGAGGGACAGATGGCGCTGGGTGCATAGCTTCCTCCTCTGCAGGGACTTCTGCTGGAAGGCATGGCTTCAGGCTCTGTGTTCAGGGAGGTGCAGGGAGAGGTTGGGAGGCACGGCTGGCTGAGGTGTCTCCTGGTGTGACAGGGAAGATGAGAGCAGATGGGACTGCTCAGAGGGCCAGTTTCAGCAAGAAGGGGTTAGGGTCCCTCCCAGAGGGCCATGTGGTCGATGGGCCATGACGCCAAAGGAGGAAGCAGGTTAGAACCTACCTGGACACCAGACACTGGACCAAGCATGTCAAACTCGCGGCCCACAACGCATATTTTTGCAGCCCAGCCAATATAACAGTATGTAAGAAACGTTTTAATAAAAATTTCACAACTTAATTTTTACAATATCCTGTGATACGTAATTATTAATAACGAACTACGGCATTCGCTAATGACTGATTACTATCATCGTGTTGCATTCATTTCCCTTATGTGCCTTACGTGCAAGCGCACCATTTCTCTCCACTAATACTAGCAGCAAATAATTTAGCCGCCGCCGATGGCCACGTCATTAGTCTTGTACTGGCTTGTTTGGTGTGCACAACAGGAAATATTTCACTTTCGGAGAACAAGAAAAATAGGGGTTTTTTTTGCATTACGCTTATTCATTTGCGCAGTTATTCCGTGTCTGGTAAGTTAAAGTTCAAGAAAAAATATTAATTTTATTAAAATGTTCTATTATTTTATGTTAACGATGACTCATGTATTTCAGCCCTTTGTAGTCAGCATGTCTCTATCAGAATACACCTACGTTTCAATGAAAATTGAAGCTTTTGTTTTTTTGGCGGCCCACATACACTTGAACCTTGTTTATTTGGCCCGTGTTAGCCTTTGAGTTTGACACGCTTGGGCTAGCCGGACCAGCTGCCTCTCTAGAAGGGCTGTGCACGCTCTTCCTTGCCACAGTCCTCACCATTCCTTATTGTTGCCCCCCTCCCCCATAAAGGTTTGCATTTGAGGTTCCTGTTTTGGGAGGAGCTAAATAACTTGGGGGGGGGGGGGGGGCGCAAGACTCTGAGGGTGCCCCTCCCGTGGCTCTGCGCCTAGTAGTCATTCTCATCGGCACACACCCTCCCCGCTGTGCCCTCAGAGTGTTCCTCTTCGTGGATCCCGAGCTGGTGCCTCCCTCCGTGTGCAGCGCCCTGCTGCTGGAGATCCAGGCCGCCCAGACGCAGCAGACGCCGGAGGCCTGCATGCGCCACGTGGTCTCCCACGCCCTGCAGGCGGCTCTGGGCGGGGCCTGCCGGGCAGACGCTCTGCAAAGGAAGCTGCAGGTAACTCCCTGCCCAGCCCTGCTGGGTCCAGCCCTGGGCCCTACATGCCCACACTAAGTGCTTACTCTACTGGCCTGCCCCCTCTCCTATTGCCATATTACCTTTTGTAAGTCAACATGAATACACATGCCCTTAGGAAAGCCTGAGAAATGCAGGTAAGTCACAGGAGAAAATAAAAATCACTCACACCCTCCACCCAGACATAGTAGCAATGAACAGTCTGGTATATTGCCTTAATGACAATGATAATCCTAATAGCTACTGTTTATTGGATGTTTGTTGTGTTCCAGGCACTGTGTTAGCACTTCACATATATCACATCCTAAAATTCTCACCACAACACTGTGAAATGGATGTCATTTTTCAAAACTCAGGGACAGAGAAGATGCTGACCTACTCATGGTCACACATGCAAAGGGACCGAGTCAGAATGTCACCCAGATCTGACTTCAAGCCCACGTTCAGTCGCCTCCCCCACCACTCCTTTCTAGCAAACCGGGAGATCACCCTGTAATGCAGTTTTATTTTTAAAAATATACTTTTATTGATATCTGAGAGGAAGGGCGAGGGAGAGAGAGAGAGAGAAACATCAATGGTGAGAGAGCATCATTGACCGGCTGCCTCCATCATGGGAATCAAGCCAGCCACCCGCCCATGTGCCCTGACCGGGAACGGAACCCGTGACCTCCTGGTTCATAGGTCAACGCTCAACCACTGAGCCAACCTTTTCATGTAGGGTAGCAATATAAAATTTCTTTTTAAAATATTTTTGAACCAAAAAAACTGAGCTGATTTAAATAAAAATAATGAGTACTTAACAGTATAGGTGCTATGTCAAAGCAGTATAAAAACGAGAGAAGTTCAGGAAATATTCAATACATGTATGGACAGGGTGCTGGCGATGCAGCTCTAAATAAAACAGACAAAATCGCGGCCTTCCTGGAGTTCACGTCCTGGTGGGGACAGGATGTCGACACAAGTGTCTAGTGACGCCTCAAGGGGGTGGGTGCCAGCAGCCATCCTGCCCGCTGGGTTCCCCACCCTGCAGGGCACCAGCTGCCTCCCCCCTCCCACCCTCCCCCACCCAGGGTCGCAGGCT